GAGAAAAACGTATCGCAAGGAAGAAGCGGCCAAGGAACATTCGAAAATGAAGAGAATACATTTTCAAAAAGGCAAATACAACTTTGGGACTTAAAGGCCGCGTGACTAGGGAGACGAATAATCGCAACCGTCATAGAAATTTAACAATATCACCAAAATGTACTAGAAGTCCACTCAAAATGCAGAAGGCAACAAGAAATAAACATCCACAATTTGCTCAAGGTGCATGGGTTTAATCAAGAAGATGATCCGTGAAAACAGTGCTTGATATCTGCATCCATGGGAATCAGGGTCTAGGCGCGAAAGTCTACGTGCCTCTAAAGTTTTAAGAAATAACTCCAGTAATAAAACGTAACCTTGGACTGGAACAGAGTGAAAATGGTCCACCAAAAAGATAAGAAACGTATCAACGGGCCCATGGGGAAGATTCTGATCAGCAAGTCGAGGGAGGAGGGGCAAGGTGAACAGTGGGTGTGATGACGTCCCACTGAACTCTCTAAAATGGCACATCTCTACAAGTCGATTCTAAACAGATCAGGAGTTTGGATAGGCCGGGAGTGTGACAAGAAGGTAAGGAGTAGATAGATTGGCCAGGACAGAAAAAGGAGCGATAGCCCAACTGTCTCGGCAAAAAGTTGGTCAAGAGATTGACTTTACTTGTCTCTGCCGAGTAGTAGCTTGGTGCTGAGAATGGCAAGACTTACTGACGATGCCAGGGAAACGTCTGGAAGTGTACCAAATCGAATGTCTGACGCTGAGAATTATGATAACTACTGCAGCAGAGGATTTCAGACAAGATGTGTCCAATTAGGTTGCCCTGGAAACACGGGCAAGTTGAAAAAAGAGGTCAGACCATTTTTTTGCATCGAAAAGAGAATGCGACCAAAGCAGAGGACACAGCGTCTTGGGATTCATATCTATTGTTCAAGCAAGTATGTTTAGAACCCAGACTCACTAAATGCAGCATCCAGGCCTTTCGAGGTCGGAAGCGATTCATTTCCACGGTAATGCCTTTTATCGAATCTAGCAAAACTTGAGCAGCTCGCGTACCATATACTCCACCCTTCAAATCAATCACTTGATGGCATGAAGCCCCTGGTTGAGCGTCGTCACGGCGCCGGACAGCATTTTCAGCGCAGCCTCTCTCGTCTGAAGTATAGTCTATATTACAGATAACATCGCAATCGTTTTGACTGATATCGCATCCAACATTTACAAGCTTTCGGGCCAATTGGAAGCGTGGTGGCATGTAAGTGCGAAAGAAAAGGTAAATTGGACAGTTGGCGGGCAAATAGTCGTTGATCTCAGAAGATGAAACGAATTTGGAGGGTAGAATGGCCAATGGTTCCGTAAGAGTGGGAAGTAGTTGCTATGTGCAATTTCATGGGATTTTAAAATAAGAGAGCAAAACAGCAAAACAATGAACTAATGTAAGATCCATGCTTAAAGATGAGATTTCACATATTCACATTTTTAGCCGTATAAGCATTCCTTTTATATTAATATTAAAGTATCAAAAATCAGCCTG